TCAAGACCTTAATTCAGAGTCTCACTTATTCATTAGTGACTGGTGGACACAGCAGTTGATTTAACAGTAATATTACAACATTTGGCATATCTCTGTGGGTATACAGACACCCAGAACAGATGGGATAATAAGTTTAGGCAAAATGTCAGAATCAGCTGCACAGTCTCTGGAAGAGTTCCTGTAAATCTAAGAGGACCTGGAATGTGTAGTGCTATACGTGGTCCATAATGACCTGCCAAAGTGACCTGGCATAGTGCAGTGGTTTCCAAACTAGACTTTGTTCAGTCCAAGGGAATTAGTGGAGGACCTATACCTTGCTACTAGAGAGAGAGGGGAACCTAAGTAATGGAGTCTTCCTGTTTTCCTTCCTCTACTTGAAACAAACATCTCTCCCTTTCTCTAGCATTATTTAGTTCCCCAATCAGAAACAGACAGACATCCATATACATGAAAACAAAACTAGAGTTGAGACACACATACAAACATACAGAGAAAGAGAGAGAGAGAGAGAACTAGGCATGAACAGAATACTAACTTTGGAATCAGTTTCTCTGGATTTGATTCTAGTAATAGAATTATTAATATACTTATTATTTGGAGACTCAGGCATGGTTCTTAAACATCCCAACATTAATTTCCTTGTACGTATTGATACACACAAAGATTTTTGTTGAACAAACAAGCAAATGAATGAACAAATGCATAATTTTATATTTTGGTAAAAATAACCTTGTAATGTTGTAGTGAGGATCAAGGCTAATATAGAAAGAGTTTAATACAGCTTGTCACATAGTGGTTTGCAAATAATGATAATAACTATTTTGTTTTTATGGATTCAGTGCTTCTTTAATTGATGTACAAGTGCCTATGTGATACTTCTCACTAGGCTAGACAGAGATCCTTGCTAAACTTAGGAGCAAGTTTTATATGCAGCTGAATATTTGGAACATGCCAAAGTCCAGAGGATCTGTTTCACAAGGGAAAATTCTGGGAATCTCAGAAGCTTCTTGATTTTCCACTCTTTTAAAAAATTTGTTATATGTTCTTTTTAGATATACATGACATTGGATTATTTTGGCATATTATACATACATGGAATATAACTTATTCTAATTAGAATCCTATTCTTGTGGTTCTACATGATGTAGAGTAACCCTGGTCATGTACTCAAATACAAGGCTAGGAAAGTAAGGTCCAATTAATTCTACTGTCCTTCCTATTCCTCTCTCCCTTCCTTTTCCTTCATTCTCCTTTGTCTAATCCATTGGACTTATATTATTTCCTTCCCTACCCTCTCTTGTTGTGGGTTAGCATTCACATATCAGAAAAAAATATTCAGCCTTTGTTTTGGGGGACTGGTTTATTTAACTTAGCACTGTATTCTCCAGTTCCATCCATTTACTGGCAAATGCTATAATTTCATTCTTCGTTATGGCTGAGTAATACTCTATTGTGTATATATTCCACAGTTTATTTATCTATTCACTTGTTGGTTTTCCACTCTTAAGGAGTCTGGCTTGGGTAGTTTAATCACTAAAATAATAGTAAGCTATTGTTTAGAAGAAGCTTTGCCATTGGGCCAAGTGTACCAAAAACATATGGCAACTGAGCAGGATCAAAATTCTGTAGCCCAAGAGGTGTTTATATTTGCCCTTGTTATTCCTTAGGCTTGACTCATGTGATCCAGTGACATTGAAGTCTATGTATTTAGCACATTTGTCCTTTGCATAAGAATAAATTATCTATCTACAAGCTTTTATTTTGAAAGAGAAGAGGGGGAAATTTGTTGGGCTTTCGACTTGAAAATTTATGTTTTTCATCTACCTAAATCATTTTCAGTTAAATACCATTGTCTTGTGTATCAGATTCATTCTGCTGTAGAATGTTAAGTTCCCTAGGGTAAGACCTTGTCTTTTCATAAGTTATGTAAAATGGCACAGACACTTTTAGTATTCCTGCTATAACAGGCCATTCTCATTTGTAATAAAAGAATAAGAACCCTGGCAGCTACATGACACATTTGACATAAGAATCCCATCACATATGTATGATGATCCCATCATAACATATTTTAAAGGTATGGTCCCTCTAGGAAAACTGAATAATATCTCCAAATCTAGAAAACAGACCAGTGAGAGTTAATTCTAATTATATAAAGAGTTTTTGCTTTACAAGACAACTTTCTTTTTTTCCCCCCTACTAAAGAGTCTCTTTAAATAGCCAGATCTCTTTTTGGAGTATTCAAAATTGGATTTGCTTTACAAAACGTTGATTAGATTCAACTTTTCAGGAGCAATGACAGTGTGCAAAAATGGGACATTGCCTGTCAGATGTCAATGGCAAAATCTCACTTAGTGATCACAGTGAAACAAACAGGAAAAAAAAAAAGACTCACCATTCCCCAGGCCCACCAAGTTATAATGCCCAAATGTGACAAATGGCTTTTATAGGAATCAGATGCCCTCATTCCAGGAAGGATGGCTATGCTAGCTAGCACTGGGGTCATTGACCATTGGTAACAGCTTGACTTTGGCAGCCAAGGGCATCAATATGAGGTCTGAAGCAATTATACATTATTCATATACAGCATGTACTGAATTCTTAGCTTAAATAGAAATACTTTTTATTGAGACAATTAGGAAGGTAAAGCTGATCACTTTTTTTTTTTTCATTGCTGGGAATAGAATCCAGGGCCTCATAAATACTAAGAAAGCACTCCAACACTGAGCTACTCCCCCAGCCCAGATGACTTTTATTAAAAAATGAAAAGAGTGTTTTGGGGAGATATATTTCTTCTTTCACATATAAGTTATGAGAAAAAGAGGAAAAAGAGAATTTGGAGTAGGACTAGGTAGGAACACAAGGTCTGAAGGGAAGACCCTCTCATATTAGAAAATTTCCACCCATGTCAGACACCCTCTTTATAAGCACAATAAATACAAGCAGATAAGTAAGCATTAGTCATTAATGCTAGCTTTCATTTCTGATACATAGCAGGAAATATCAATGTATACTGCATTGTTCAATTTTGCAAGTAAGTACTATACAGGCACTTTGTTAGACTCAAAGACAGAAAACAAGACAAGGAGAGAATAAATACATGTCATTTAATAAGGCATCTGATTGCCTTCAAAGATCATATAATGTCTTTAGGCAATGTTCCCAACTAGCTTTTCCAATAAAAACAAACAAAACAAGCTCCATTTCAAAGATAGCAAATATAACTAAATACACCATTTACGTTTTATTTCAAGGGTGCTAACTCCTTGAAAAGGGTCACTAGTCTTGGACAAAATTTAGTCAAGCTGCTGAGAACCCGTCTAGAAGTTCTGTCCATTTTGCTGAAAGACTATTTATACTATTACAGCAAGTGCATCAAACACTTGAACAAAAATTAGGGTCAATGGGGTTGGGGTTGTGGCTCAGTGGTAGAGCACTTGTCTTGCATGCGTGGGGCACTGGGTTCAATCCTCAACACCACATAAATAAATAAAATAAAGATATTGTGCCTATCTACAACTTAAAAATGTCACAAAAAATTAGGGTCAGTGAAGGAGTATTTGATAGAGGTAAGACACTCAGAATTTTCATAGGGTATTAATTTCTGCAGTCCTCTGAATAACTTCATCCCCTTGCCTCATAAATCTGTGTATTCTTCTCATGAATGTATACAGTGTCTGAATAGACCTGGTGTTTAATATACTGAATTGGTCTTGTACCTGAAGATGAATGTGTAAAAGAGGACAAGGATGGGAGGATCATGAATTGGATGGAATGAAAGATAAGCTGGAGACTGGTGGAGAAGAAAATAGTTAATTTGGATTGTTTGATTCATGTTTAGGTTTGTATTTCAGTTTCTGCCACACTTGCATTGACAACCATCCCTGCCATCTCTCTAATACATGCAGTTTATGTTCAGAACCAGGGGCAGCACAGACAAGAAGTGTGGGCAAGAACGACCCTAATCTGTCACCAGATAGAAAATCTGATTTGTGCCCCTCAGAGAGAAGGTTCTCTAGGGTGCAATAAAGTAAACATAAAATAAAATAAATTAAAATAAAACAAAATAAATGTATTCTTGGGTCCATCTTGGGAAAGAGTTGAGGGTGAAGAATACGACAGCTGAAGAACCAAAGCGTCAACCTTTCCTAGGCAAGGGAGTGCGGAAGGTGGGTTGCTGGCAGGGTGGGGGTGGGGTTACCTCTGGTAGCCCCTGGGCAGAAAAGCAGGGAACTGGGAACATATGGGGCGGAGACTCTTTATGCCAGGGTAAAGTATTGGGGTATAAGGGTGGGTGGGGGCCTGAGGGGTGGCTTAGAGCCCTGGCAGTGACTGCCTGACGTCACCGGACTCTCTGGCAATAGGCTGGGAGCTGAGCTCCCTGAAGCAGCGGCGAAGGCGGCGGCGGCGGCATCGCGGCTCGGTCTCTGGCCCCTTCACTCTGCGCGTTCTGCAGCCGCCACTGCAGCCGCGCAGCGGGGGCTCCCTCCCAATAGCCAGCTGGTGGCTCCAGGTAAGAGACACTGGGCGGCTGAAGACTTGGGGATGACCGGGCGGCCCGGCGGTTGGGTGCGAGCGGGGAAGAGGACAGCTCCCGCGGCCTGCGCAGGCACCCCTGCCTATAGCTTTGGCCCCTACTCCTGCCCCGGCCGGGGCTTGCGCGTCGCCTGGGTGCTCCGCAGTGCAACAGTTTGCAGCTGCCTCTAGGGAGCCTCAAGGAGGCTGTGTTACGTGCTGCAGCTCTACCTGGCTTGGTCCCCAGGAACAATCTCGGGGCCCACGGTCTGGGTCTGGGAAGACCAGAGAGAAGGTCCGTTTCCCAAACTTTGCAGGAGGGAACCCTCCCATTCCAGTTCCAGCTCCTCTAGAAAGAAGCTGAATACTGTCAAGTGTGTGTGTGTGTGTGTGTGTGTGTGTGTGTGTGTGTGTGTGGTGGGTTGCAGGGAGATGGGAAGGAAGGGGGCGTTTGCGGAGATGTGTTTCAGCGGAGAAAGGTGCTTCAGCTGCTCCCCCCTCCTTTTTTTGGTAGGTGGGTGCTTGGGGGCGGGGGTGCCAGGGAAGAAGGCTGGAGAAAGAACTGGGCACGATTCTGGCATTAACCACCGCTGTGGATATAGGCTGAGCGAGATACGATGCCAGGGGTGCCCCCTTGGGAATGGGACCTTAGGGATCTAACGCCGTCTGAGGACGAAGAGTGGGGGGACGGAGAGGGAGGACCGCATACCGCGAACCCACCCAGTGGTCCGGAGTGGGTGCTGGAGAGGGTAGGATCCAGGCGAACATGTCCACAAAGAAGAGGGCGCAGGGAAGAAGAGAGACAATGCTTTGGGAAGTAGGAAACGCCATCTGAGGCGACTGCTGTCAGTTGCAATTAGAAAGTTGTGGAGGGCGCAGGGAGACTGCCTTATCTGCTGAGTAATCTGCACCTCGGTCCTGCTGGCTTGTACACCTTCCCAGAGATCGGAGGAGCAAGCCGGCTGGCAACTGGCTGCTCTGGAGTGCTGCTAGGAGTGGTAGGGTTGGGGGTCCGCGGGTTACGGAGTAGACCAACAGCGCCCAATTAAGGCAGCGTGTCCAGAGGGCCGCTTTGCTGTGGTGGCTGATCCCTCTCTTTCTCCGCACTCCCTTTGGCAGCCTCTGGGACCCTAACTAAGCCTGTTCTCTTTGCAGCCCGGTGCCTCAGCGAAGGAAAAGGGCGAGTGGAGACACGTTCAAGGCGGGACCGGAGAGGATTTCCCCGGCGCCGCTCACTCACTGGTCGGCTTGCTTGCCATCAGTCGCTCCCTCAGTCCTTGGTCGGTGTGCGCACTCCCTCCGGCACCAGGGAGTAGTTTTGGGTGGCGTGGGCTCATTCCTCTTCTTGGCTGGTGGGAACAGAGTGTTGAAGAGAGGAAGCTCGGTGGGCCTGGCCCCTCCCAGCCCAGCGCCGATGAGTGCCCGGGCTCCAAAGGAGTTGAGGCTGGCGCTGCCGCCGTGTCTCCTCAACCGGACTTTTGCTTCCCCCAACGCTAGCGGCAGCGGCAACACAGGTGCCCGCGGCCCGGGTGCAGGCGGCGGCGGAAGTGGTACCTGCATCACGCAGGTGGGACAGCAGCTCTTCCAGTCATTCTCCTCCACGCTGGTGCTGATTGTCCTGGTCACTCTCATCTTTTGCCTCATCGTGCTGTCCCTGTCCACCTTCCACATCCACAAGCGTAGGATGAAGAAGCGGAAGATGCAGAGGGCTCAGGAGGAATATGAGAGGGATCATTGCAGCGGCAACCGCGGTGGAGGGGGGCTGTCCCGGGCAGGTAGTCAGGCCCAAAACCATGGAAAAGAAAACAGGCTGGAGAGGCAGTCCCGGGACTCTGCCTTCTACGCCCCCTCCAACTTCTCCGGTTCCTCCTCCTCTTCATCCCCTGGTCTTCCAAGCCAGGGTCCCTGTGCTCCTCCGCCTCCACCGCCAGCCCCCAGTCCACAAGGAGCACACGCAGCCTCCTCCTGTTTGGACACAGCTGGCGAGGGCCTTTTGCAGACGGTGGTACTGTCCTGATTGTGTAGCCCCTCTCCTCACCCCTTTTCTCGTTTCCACCATCTTTACCATCCTTGCTTTTTCTCCCTCCTTCCTTCCTTTTCCATTTTCCTGTACCACTTCTTTCCTCTTCCTTCTTTCCTTATCTGCCCTCCCTTTTACTATGTTTCTCCTCCGCCGAGGCACTGTGCGGTATTTGTAAATATTGGGCGAGGAAAGTCTCGGAAGAAGAAATAACGCTGATAAATCTTTATTAATATTTACAGTTATTATTATTATATTACTAACAACACAATCCAAGCGCATGACAAATCACATACTTTCTCATTGTCAATGAAGGATGCATCTTCCCTCTCCACTCCGTGCCCCCCCTCAATAAGGAGGAGAAACCGCACAAGCTACCAAATACATAAAAGGCATTGCCACCAGGAGCAAAGGGAGGGGAGGGGGCCGGTAATGTTGTATATAGCTGTCAAGTTAAAGGTTTAGTTACCTTTCTTCCCCTTCACCCCCCCCCCCCAGCTTTCACTTTTTCTTTAGCTTTTCTCCACTCCCCTTTTCTCACCCTCAGCTGGGCTCAGGCAATAGTATATTATTAAAAAAAAAGTCTACATTTAGCACCAAGACTACAACGAGGCCACAGAGAAAGTCCCAGAAAAACGTTTTAGGACAGGTAACCCTCTCCAGTCAGCCATCTTCTCACTCTTTGGCTAACCATTGCCTTTTCCAGGACAGAACATTTAATTTACTTTTAGAAATGTCTCTCGCTGGCCGAGCATAAGTACATTGAAATCTTTAAGTGAGTTAAAAAAAAAAAAAAAAAAAGATCTGCTTTAGATCCGTGCCCCACCACACTTGTACACCTTTGACTTGTGGCATTTTCAGGAGTCAGAGGATCGGGAGCTGTCCGTCCAGGTCTGGTGCTGAAATCGCCTCACCATAATGGTTACTTCCTCTGATTGAGCAGGCGGAGGAGGGGCTGTTTTGGAAAGTGATTGTACTGGCTTTTGGTTGGCTTCTTTCTTCTTTTTCTACAATCGGGTTAGCGTGTACTATTAATTTTATTATTATTAAATGTTGCATAAGTTCCCCCCCCCCTTTTTTTTTGTAAAAAGAAAAAGTATTTGGTGATGTGCAGTACTGAAAGTGCAGTATCTAACCAACCAGAATGTTTGTTTTATTTTTAGAGCAAGTGCACCTTTGTTATATATTTATTATATTGGTACCAAATACAGAAGAAAACTATAGTTCTGTACTATGTCCTCCAAACTGTATATTCTTGTTCTTACTTTCCAGCTGTTGATATAATGGTTACCACTGGATGAGGAATTCAGTGGGACAGGCCTGGCTTCTCCTGTTTCCAGAAGTGTTCTTTTGTACCTTACTCTGTAGTAGACTGTTATAAAAAGATGACACATATGTTTCCCTTTTTCTTTTGTGAATAACAGAAACAACCACAGCAACAGAAAACAAATAATGGATGTGCAGGAATGCCATCTATTAAAACATGGTTAATATATAAACAGTGCCTGTAGTTCTCGCTGCATGCAGTTACCACCTGGAGGCAGTGGTGTGTGTGCTTGCTTGTACTGTGTGTGTTTGGGGGTAAGACTGGTGGGGATGTTGGGCAATTTGAATGACAGGACATGCAAATTTCAAGAGAAGTTAAATCAATACATACTTGTAGGATAAAAAATGTTTATAGCTCGTTTGTTAAAAATCTGTGCCTGCATCTGAGAAACAGCAAAGGAGGGGCTCTCCTCTTTCTGAATCTGACTTAGCTAACTTCACTCTATCAGGAAAAAATATTGAATAGAAAAGAAAGTTGAAGAAGATAAATATTTTTCCCCTCTCCTAATGCCAGACAAGCCCATCTGTGTTCGAAATGGAGTCTGGCTGTGGTTATATGCCACTTTGTTTCCCTTCAGTGGATAATAGAAGGGGCCATAAGCATATTACAATCTTAATTATATGCAGTGGCATCTCTTCCTGGAAACTAACTCTTTGATGGTTATTCAAATATTTGGAAAATGTACAAATGAGAATGATCTACAAAAAGCTTCACCAAAAATATCATTACTATCCTGCTGGGTGAAAGGCAACAGTGCCCCTAAGTATATTCCTCTCCCAAGTAACTAGTTGTTCTAGATTTTATGTCTTGATTCTAGGCATATATGATCTTACCCAGAGAAAAAATATTACCTTTGATGTTTTTGGTCATCTCTTGAATTGCCCAAGCTCAATCTGCATCTTTTACAAAAATAATTTCATAAGCTTAATTTAAAACACCGTTATTCCTTCAAGTCCTTTCCTGAGGCACAGAAGATCATCATTTAAGCATGACATATTGGAAATATTAGGAAGATCGGGTCTCATCTTTGAATACAATGTATTACACAATGAACCAGATCCTCTCTAGTGCCTTAGTCACTTCTTAGTAATAGTTAAAAGAATGCATTAACACTCTCAGGCCACTAGGGAATCTGTTAGTGCATCAGAGCTCTACATTGTACACCAGAATGACTAAGGCACTGTGAAGAAGATAGTCCATTAATTTTTGTAGCTCACCCTCATCCAGCTGTAGTTCTTTAATACCTTATTACAGAATGACTTTTGGACTTGAAATTGGAATAGAATCAGGAACCCAGAAGGGAGCTTCCTCATTTCCAATGAGCTATACTGAAGTGTATGAATATTACTTTCTTCCCTTATTTGGTGCACTTTTTACAGTGAATAATTTCCCATTTTATTAAAGCAATAAGATATTCTGTTATGAACAGTTCTAGATGATGATTCCATTTCCTTGGTGCTGAAGCTACTTATGTGTTCCGGCCTTATGAATCATAGTGCATTTAAGGCATGCAATAATAATCCTCTTTAAAGGAGCAGACTGTACACCCTGGGGGGGGGGTAATGTCCTATATAAATTTTTTCCCAAAGGAATAAAGGGATCAAGAGAAATAAAATAATCATATTTATTGTTAAAATATCTTTATACCTCTAAACATGGGCAAATATCTGCAATATGCTCTTATTGTGCACTTTTAAATATGCCTTTCTCCATTAATTGACTATGGTTTGATACTCTTAATAGTATCCTGTGTAAAGATGATGCAGTCTGGAGTTAGTCAAATTTTGTACTGAGTTTAATATGTTCAGAACCCTAAACTTCTGGTGGTGTCACATGATATATTATGGGATAGAAAGGGAATTATATGAAATTCTAGTAAGTCAGTCCCCATACAAATTATTACAATAAGCACATATTCAAGCAATTTGTATTGACCTGTTCAAAAGCATTGCTTCTTATAAAGCTCAATTGACAGTCCCAGGAGTTTGGGAAGCTACCAATAGGGCTTTTTAGTATTCACTTATATAAAACAAAAGGTAATTTGGAAATAGTTAAAGTTATTTTAAGTGTTTTATTTATTGATGTCCCGTCATACTAATTGCTTCAACCCCTATAGCTACAGCTCGACTTCTGCACTTGCTATTCAGTATTAATAAGGTGGCATGCTTGATTCTTATTGTTTTAAAAATGAGAAAATTGGAGAAAGAATGCCATTATGTCAACTGTATGGAACTCTGAATCTTAAAGACATAGATGGATATAATCTTTAGAATTTATATACACCCATAGATATGTATTTATATATGCATACATTTTGTACAAATTTACAGTGGACTTTTGTATTCTCTTTTCTGTCATTACAAGAATGAGATGGAAACCAAATAGTTGTTCCATCCTCTTATCCAGAGAGGATACTGAGAAGTCAGGTATATGCATGCATTTATTTCTCTGGAGTCGAATCTGAAAGACTTTCTCTTTATTTAATGAAAGGGAAGAGTCTTGATTGGCTCAGGAAATTGGTAATTAGATAAGCTTCCTTTCCTATGTTAGTGACTCAAATGTAGCAATGATAATGAAGGTATGACCATATCAATGCAGTACAACTATCTAGGTGGAATGCAGAATTATTCAGAAGAGGCTTACAGCCATCTAGACCACAAGCCTGGGTTGTGGTTTGATTTTTCCTTTTCAACCTAAATGTTGTGTGAGATATAACTTACATAAGCATAATTAAAGGTAAAGTAAAAATATGACAATTATTTGTTTAGTTTGATAGTTTTTTGGAAGACATGGACCAATTAGCTTAAAAAAATTTTGTTTGGCATCTGACTTCTCTGCCACTTCTGTATCAACTGAATTAATTAGATAATGGTTAAAATTAATTTTTCCAATGTGCAGACATATGCTTTAAATGCTTTTCTGTGGATGATAGCTAAGCAATTGCTCGCTGATATTATGTGGAATTTATGAACTAAATTAGAGCCAAAACCTTTAATCTAATCTGGTTAGCCTCCTTGAGTCCATGCCCATGTGAATCAGGACTTTGAATCTGAATCTGAAAAGCCACTTATTCTGTTTAGAACTAGTCATTGTGGCTCACAGATGTTTCAGTTTATATAAGAATGAATTACTCTAAATGAGGGAATTTAATCATTGGACTGAACATAAATCTGATTCTAATTTGGGTTTTAAATTTATTTGGTAACATCTGAGAAGCAGCTTATATGGCTTGATATCAGTACTTATTAATGTCACTAACCTAGTAATAATACAATTGGTGCCATGTAGGAATGCTTAGCTGAGAATAAGAGTTTAATTAGCTTTAACTGGGGACCGTGACATATCAAGGTGGTCTTACCTTTTTGAGGCAGGGATGTTACTCTAAGACTTGTGATTGCATTGGGTTATTACTATAGAGAGATTAAAAATAACAAAAGAGACTGCAACCACAGCAACAGTAGAAAAACTGATTTTTGAACTTGAGCATATCCAATAGGTAGAATAAAACATATTAAAATTCATGAAAAAATTTGTTTTGCTTTTCTATCAATAAAAGAGTTTTCTTGCTAATGGGCCTTTTGGACACTACTTTCTTATTATAATATAACAGGGTTATAAAATTTATTCTATTATACGTAGATACAATTTTCTAAAAGAAACTGTCATTTAAAAATTTTATAACTCATCTTCTCTTCCTCACAAACCAAGTGCATATCAGAAAAGGGATATGTATAAAATTTAGTACAAACCAGTAAACTGAATACAGTTTGATAATTTAATAGCCCCTTTAGACAGCTCTTTAGGCTCTTGAGGGTATATGCTTAGGTTCTGATATTTCCTGTGCTTAAATTTCTCTAATATCACCAGGATTGTCAAGGAGGGATTCTGTTGATGTGATTTTATGCTACTTAGGGAGAAGGGAAGCCTCAGATATATAAATTACAACGACTCCTAGGTGAACCCTCCTGAGAAACAGGTGGTCAGGGCTGCTCCCTAGTCAGAGGTGTTATTGTCTGATTTAGCTTTTGTGCTGACCATTGTAATTTTAGATCGTGGACCTTTGTCCTAAGTCTCAAAGTCACCATCCACAGGAATCTATGTATCCTGACCCTGTCATCCCTAGGTCTCCCAATGCTCACATGTTGCCCCTTTTTGAAGATACAGGAACTTCTGTGTGCCCTGCATTCCCTGCACCCACCATTGAAAAGTGTGGGTTCTACCTCAGGATAATGAATTGATTCACTATCTGCCACCTCAGATCTCCTACTTCTGCATCATGTTAATGCCATGCAGGTAGAGTTCTTCTGGAGTCACATAGCCATACATGAATATTTTTGGTGTTTGTGTGCAGGATTGCCATTTTTTCTCCAAAACTGACTATATATTTATCATATACCATCATAATGTGGAGAGAAGGAACATGAAAACTTCATCACCACCTGCTTCATTTTTCTGTCTTTTTCCAAAATTGTTCCAGACTGAAAAAAAGCAGGTATTTCTCTTAAGGTCCACTTTTATCAATGTAAGACTCTTCCTACTATGGATAGTTTTTCACTTCTGTAATGGACTTAGTTTCCTTCTTCCTGACATTGACCTTGTGATGAACTCTTAATGGTAGTTGGATAGGGTTTAGGAAACAGAAAGATAAGCTTACTGATAAGGCACTCTAAATTAGAACATAACTTAAAATAAATATATCATGCCATCATAGCAAACTTTTGTTTTCCACAAAGCACATGTGCTCATGATTAGGGTCTTCCTTCCCTTTTCCCAAGAGCTTGTTTGTTATCTTGTATTCATGTCCCACTAACTTTAATCCCTGGCTAACTTTAATTCTGGCTACTGAATGAATCTTTTAAATCATGATTGTGTCTCTAAGAAGGGACAAACTATTCCCCATACAGGCTCATTACTTCATCCTAGTTTATGTGCAGAAAATTCTTGAGCTGAGATGAATTTCTAGTGGATATTGACTAGTGAAGTGGGGATGAGTAAATCTCTCTACCTAAAGGCAGTAGCCAGTATAGATTAGAGATACAGCCCAATCTCTACCCAAGCTCCTCTTTACTCCCAGGAGGTGCACAGTCTTTAACCTCAGCTATTTGACTCAAAGATAAATATTAATTTAGTTAGCTCTCATAAACTGGCATGGATCAGTTCCCTGGATATTTCTGTCTCTCTGGGTGAACTTAATTTATGAAATATTAGCTATGTATTCCTTTTCTGAGTAATTATTGAAGTTTAATATCTTCTATCATCTCCAAATATGTTCAAAACTTTAAATGATTTTGGCAGTGTTGGGTTTCCCTCTCTGAAAAAGTAGCTTTACTTTTTAAAACTTTGAGAACAAAAAGGGGCTTTAGTGATAACTTTTCTTAATCTCTCTTTTCTGCCTTGTGTTGACCATCCTCTATTTGCATCTGAAGATCTTTTATATTCCTGGGTCATGACCTTGACTCAGGGTTTTTAAATTTTACCCTAGGGGTTTGTAATCACTCCACATAAAATTTATGTGTTTGTAATCACATAAATTTTCTGCATATACAATCTGTAAAATCCTAGGATTACCCTTACAAGCCTTCCTGCACAGGGGTGTTAGGATGCATTGAGGTGGCAGAAATATTTACCTTTCACATACAGATATTCAAAGCAAATGTGGCTACTCTATTTTTCTATAATTTATCCTATCTTCCCCATAATGAACTTTTGCTGGATATCCTCTTTAAGAAAATTCTCAAATTTTCCTTTCCTCTGCTTTTTTCCAAGATAGTATCTTGCTTCTTTCCAAACTAGTAAATTGGTACAATTTATGTTATCTCATGGTGGCAGAGAAGGAAGTTTCCTTAGATCTGTGCATTCTTCAAGAGACCTTTGTTGAGTTGTGTTGGAGACTGGTCTGCTTCCTGAACTATGATACCAGAAGTCTCTTCTAGAACCCACCATTGCAGCCCAGGATCCTGGACATTTTTACATATTATTAAAATTCAAGTCTCCTGTGTCTTCTTTGTTCCAAATATAGGGTTTTGCTGTTTTACTGTAATCTAGGCATCCTTGGATCCACTCACATAAGCCAAATATGAATTTATGGGTTTTGAAGAATGAATAAAAGTTTACCAAAAAGAAGAAAAATCATTTTAAGTGGAAGGAGAAACAGGAAGAGTGTTATATATACTTGGGGACTGTTACAATGTTTTGTAACAGTGAGATAATTCTGCAGAGTAGAAGTAAGCCGGATAATTAAGAGCCCTGAAACAGGCTACTTTTGAAGCTATGCCTTTTCTGCTGTCGTAGGCGGTGTGGAGGCCATGAGAAATTTTGAATAGAGAGAGGACTTATAGATTGGGAGTGTATTAAAGATTACCCTGGAACAATCAGTGTATAAAGCAGATGCAGAGGTGATTGAGACTCCAGATAAATACAACTACAATAATCCTGCGACAGATGATGAGTATGTGAAGCAGTGGGGATGGAAATGAAGAAGAAGGATATATTCAAGAGCATGTTAGGTTATTGAATTGATGGAGATGGTGATTAATAGAAGCATGGTGTGAGGGAGAAAAGGAGAGAAAAGGGCAAAGAGAAGATTTATGCTTTCTATTTTGTGGATCAGGGCAACACTTGTTGGTGCTTCAATTGCAACAGAGGTTCTGGTTTGGTGGGCACAGCCTTTGATGAATTTGTCTCTGGGCCATGCTTATAATGTGGTGAAGAATATCTCTGTAGAGCAGTGTGCAGTTTGCTGAGTGAGCTTCAAGAAATAGCACTGTCACCATCATGTGATTCCTGGATGACTATTCATCGTCTGTCAAGTTGGAGGAGTTCTCCATATGTCTGTAAGCGTGTGTGTTCTGACATTAGCTTCTAGGCCATTTGTTGCAATTATCAGGCATTCCTGTAGAGAGTTGTGATTACTTCACTGGTGCTCTTGAAATAGAGAAGTAATCAGACAGGACACCATTGACAGTGACAAGGATCAATATGCTGCTGACAAGGGCGCCCAGGGTAGAGGTGAATTTGTGGAAAAGACAACACAGACAGTAATGTGGGGAAGAGCTTGGATTTTAATCTTGGCTCTGACACTTGGTAAGCAGGAAATCTTGGAAAAGTTCCTTAACTTCCCCCTGCTTCAGTTTCATGAAGGTTTGTTGAGCAGATTAAAAGAGAAGATGTAGGCAAAGATGTAACAATAGTGGGCCACGAGTGTACTGTAGTTCCTGTTCTTGATTCCCTTACAGGATTGTGTGGGGAAGAGAGGGAGTAGTTTTCTGGTAGATGATTAGTAGCAAACTTATGTTCTTTGTGCTTTCAAGTTACATCGATCGTAGTCTGTAGCAAAGTGCCCATAGTAGTTACTCAATGAAAAGTGTTGTGGAATAAACAAGTATGTGAATACATTGAATTCTAGGGACACGTGCCTGATGAAGTATTTTGGACAAACTGTAAATGAAGTCTTTCCAGAATCACATTAGCAACAAAAAAATAAAAAGCAGCATGATAGGCAGCAAGGAATGGCATCAGTGGAATCTGGCATTTTTTAATGATCTATATTTTCCAAAGAAATGTTTTGAAGATAAAATGCTCCTCTCCCATACCCAATCCCTACATCCTGCTTTCCTAAATAGCCCAGCAAAGTCTGCCTTTAGGACTGAATCTAATACTTCTTATGACTGATACAGGAGCAGGGGGTCAACTGTAGGAACCAAAGCCAAATAAGTGTCTGTTGAAGGATGGGGTTTGTTTGGTCAGGTAAGTGATGAGTCATTTGGCATCTCCTTATTGTCTGTGGAGTCTTCCATGCTAGGGATACTACTAAAGAAGAAGGCAAGAGCCTGCTTCTCAAAGAGCTTATAAGTCAGGGAGATAAGACTTTGGGGATAAAATAATGATATAAGGGAAACCAAGCTGAAATGACAACTAGGGGTGGAATAAACCCAAGTGAACAAAGTGGTCATTGATGGTGTAAACTTCTTTCACTCTCGTTGTCCAGAAAGGGAGCCACACAAGACTCCTTTTACTTGTAGACAGAGAAATCCAGTTCTGACAGTAAGATTTGGAGTTGAGGCAATGAAGCTCGAGGCCTTGTCCCTTCTGACTAGATATCATGTCACTGTCCCTCACTGGTTGTTAAAAACCACATGTCCTTAGAAGAATTGCCACAATCCGTCATTTCTCTTTTTAATTCTTCTAATATCCAAAGTGCTCCTATGTTCTCCAAACTGCTCGATGTCTCATTCTGTGTCTTTCTCTCACCTGAAGGTCTGCCCTCCCAAGGTCATATTTTCTATTTAGGACCATTGTCTCTCTCTGAAAATGCAAGATGAAAATATGTCCCTGTCTTAATAGCTTCTGTGACCTACTCCATATCTTTCCTGGACTGTACTCTTTGCAAGAGTGAGCATGTGTACTTAGTATTAATCACTGAATAATCACATAAACTTTTAAGATAACACTCTCATTTTCACAGGAGCCTATAGCACCTTAGATAGGAGGGAGTATTTCAGGGCAGGGCTTTTGGTGCAGGCAGGTTGATGTTTGCACTCTTCTGATCCCCTAAGGGAGTAGCCACTAACTAAATTATGACTTCAGCAGGCAAGACTTAGGACAGATTAATGTAGGGACATAGTATCTGAAAAAAGGTGGCCCCTTAATCTATCCCCATCACGTAATTTCATACAAAAACAAAACAATATTGTAAGATAAAAGGAATTTCACTAATAACATTCTTACTTTTTTTCAATGGCAACTATTTTCATGCCTTGCTAAGATAACAGTTATTTTTTTCATAGTCTGCCTGTTGGGAAAGTCTAGCTGGCATCAGACAGATCTGAGGGAGAAACTTGGCAGGGAAGTGTGACCTCAATGAGCAAGCCACTCAAGTTTTGACTTCAGGGTTGACAGTGGAAAGTTCACCAACTCTGTGCGCCTGCTAGGCTCAGGTCTTGAGGAAGGGATGTCTCTGGGTTTCCATCAGCATGGTTCCGACTATACATGGAAGAAACATTGGGACCATAGCATCTCTGCAGCCCTACATGGTACTAATGTCTACTCTTTGACTCAGGTTTGAGGATTACCAAAGCTCTAGATGGAACACAGAGCATGCCCATGCCCAAGCCTCTAATCAGCAATCTCTGTGCAGAGCTTTCTCAGGAGTTAGTCCAAGGTTATCTATCACCACTGACTTAGGTTGCCTCTGGGTCACTCCAACTTCAGGCCTTCAATGGAGTCTTCCCAACCCCCTCATTCCCTTTTCAGAAAGCTACTCATGTAAGACAAAAAAAAAAATTAGGGGTAAAACTTCTAGGGTGGTTCTATTTCAACCCAATGGAACTTCATCTATTTTTTTTTTCCTTTTAAAAGCAGGAGCTTAATTTAAACACAGGACACTTATGCACATTTTATGAATTATCTTACCTAGGCACAAAATGGACTCATTTATAACTGCTAGCTAAGATATCTCAGTTAGCACTCAGAGTAAACTTTATGTGCCCATTATTCCCACTTTAGAGAGAAAGAATTGAGATTCAAGGAGTTAAATAATTTTCCACAAATCACTCAGCTAGTAAGTGACTGCGATTGGATTTGAATTAAGGTTTGCCTAACTCCAGAGCCCTATTCTTCATTCTCCGTGTTACTAGATCAAAATACCTTTCCTGTGACTTTTTGTTTTTATCTATTTCAAATGAATCGTTTCCAATAGACTGTCTGAGCACCCTTTGAAACTCATCTTAAGACCAGAGAGAGAAAATAAAACAAAAATGTACATAGCCTTTTAGAGCACTTCTCAAAATGTAATATGGAGACCCATCTGTATCAGAATCTGAGGTAATAGTAGGGGAAGGGACAAGACTGTTGAGCCTACTAAATCTGTTGATTAGCTGGGCATGTCCCAAAACATACTGGGTCTGGATCTCAGGAAAAGGTTTTAGGCATATGTATTTCTAGTGAATTTCCCAAATGATGTGAAAGCAAACTGAGGCCCTAGCTCTAGAGGGTTGCCTGATGAGGAAGAATGAGGGTTTTGGGGAAATTTTAATTTCTCTGCATTACATCAAAGTTCAAATGGGGAACAGCTTACCTTCAGGATTCTATGGAATGCATGTGTTGTTTATTGTACTTATAAAATAGAGACATCAGATGTCATTTCTCAGTGCACTAATGTGTGGCCATGGAGTTGAATGGAATGACCCAGTTTTCTGAGCCCTGCTCTTTTTTGTTGGCATGAAGGAAACAAAAAGTCTCATGGCCCTCAGACCCTGCTGTTGTTAGAGTCAGTAGATTTGGTAATATCTCTCCCTCCAAAGACATGTAGATAGAATTATGCAGATTGGATTGGCAGAGTAATGGCCCCTGAAACAAACCCAAAAGCGATAGCCACCCATCAAATTGCGTAACATGGATCTGTGGCCCAGAGAAAAGATATTACGGTTCCAAATGCAGTTAAAGAAAATGCTATTAATACCACTACTGGTATATCAGCACAGTTGCTAAAAGAGTTACTCCTTCAGGATTGAAGAAGGTCATATTATATGAAAAGTACAGTCAATGTTATTGTTTCTCAAGGAACCAGATATAAGTTAAAGGAAAAATAGTCAAACAAGGCCTAGGAATATGTGAACATCACTATTCTGTGTCAGAAATGGAGATTTGAACTGATTAATTTTTTTAAAAATGGTGTAAATCAAATGATTGGAAATGTTTCCCTATTATTTATTTAACGACATATGCTTCCTAAATGATATTGGAACATTTGTATCTTTTTGCAATTCACCAAACTCCAAGGAATGGGGAGTATTCTCATCCATGTATTGCTGATGGGGAAACCCAGTTTAGAGAAGGTGAACTACTTGCCTGTGGCTACTTGACAAGTGGCAGGGTCCATCTGGCCCTGGAGCTCTGTGCAGAGCTGCCATCATGTGTCCCTCTATTCCAGCAGATTCACATTCCTGCATTGTCTTTGCTCTCCCTTCAGGGCCTTTTGAACATCAGGACTATGTCTGGCCCCAAATGCAAATTGCATCTCTGTGGTTGGCCGCTATGATGAATGCTGACTGCATCCAAATTCTCTTGCGTCTGTTTTGAAAATGATCCACAGCAAGGGGTTCAGAAGCCTTCCCAGTTCATTTTCCCTGCTGGTCCTTACATTCTGATGGACAAATCACCAGTGCAGATGGCCCATTTTTATGTTGCGATAAGGTTTGGTTAAGGACAAAAGGTCTAGTGTTAGACTACTTGAGTGTGAACCCCCCGCTCCTATGCTTTACTGTATAAAAGTGATTTAGTAGTTACTAAGCCTCTATACTCTTCAATCTCCTAATCTGAAAATAGATGTGATGGTTAAAGGGTAATTATTCTAAGCCATATATGCTTAGAATTCTGAATGCCCACCCCCCAAAAAAATTAAATAAATAATAAAATAATCAATAGATGTGGTTGAGTTTTTTGTTAATAAGTTATTAGAAATTTTGAGGCCAACTACAGATTAATATATAGCATTACCTGAACAATCCACAACAAATGAAACCAACAATACCTTTCAGTTACAAAACAAGGAGAGGCCTGGTGGCTAAGAGTGTGGATACAAAGGCCAGACCACTTACCTTCGCATCTCGGCTTATCACTCACTAGCTGTGTGACTTTGAGTGGTTTGCTTTTTGTGCCTTAGTTTTCCCATCTGAAAAAAAAATGGTGATGATTAGAGTAATTACATTGCTGGAATGTTATGGAGCTTAAAATAAATTAGAATTTGTAAGTGCTTAGAAAACATTTGTCAAATAGTAAGAACTGCAAAGCATTGGTTAACGAGTGCTAACCAAAAAAGGTCAACCTAAGATAACCAGGATGATGCCCTTTCTTAGAAGTGTGGGCTTCTTAACCATGTGTGTGGCCACAGTAGCTTTGCCAGATGTTAACCCCAGACGTGCTGACAAATTCAGGTAATATGTTAACTTCAGTTTACAAACACCACATTTTACTAGCTCTTAGTCTTAAGGCCTCAGAGGCTAACTAGACCATACATACAGATAAAAAGTTCTATCATGAGGAACTCAAAAGAAAGAAAGAAAAAGACTTGCATTTTTAATTAGTTATCCACAAACTTAGCTCAGGTTACAGGTTTGTCCTCAGGACTTTCTTAAAGGTTGAGGCAGCTCGAATTAAACAGATCAGTGAGGAGCAAAACTGATTTATGTTGTTTGAGGCAGGTTATTTTCCAAAACATGATATATATGGAGACCTGAACTTCAGCTCTTTTTACCTTGTGTTTTGGAAGTAACCTGCTGCAGAAAAAGCGGCCAAGATTTTTTTTTTTTTATTTTTGTCCACAACTGTTTTGGAGGTATCGCATTGACTTAATCTGAAATCTTTCATTAAAACTCTAGCACAAGATCATGAATGACGATGTTACTCATTTTCTCTCAGAATGAGCTCTCCAAACACCCTTTAATAATTCAGTAGGCATATTTGCCCCTTCTTAATTGATAATGGCTCCTTCTATTGGTAAATCCAAGGAAGGGTGCAAGTGCCCTTGTTTAGAACCCAGTGCACCTAGCCATTCAGTGAAGCATTGGAGTAGCTTGTTCAACTAGAAAATCTTACTAAAGAATGAGCTTTACCTATCTAGCTTAGGAGTGAGATAAGCACAGTAGCAAACTAGCCCCACGGATTGGACAATGACCCCTTAGTGACCTTCAGGATCCAAGACATTTTCCTCAGATTTGAAACCAAAATTAAAATGTCATGCACAGAACACACACTTGCATATATATGACTCTCTGAGATTTTTCATTTTTTTAATTAGGAATACCTTTGTGAAGATATGAGACTTTATTTTTCTCAAGGAATTGGGGACATTTATTCTCCCATTCTGAAGGTAGGTAAATACTATTGCCATTTTCCAGAGGATAGTCTTAGGAAAGGTAGATATATTGCTAAATAAATGACTACTTTTTAATCTTAATAGCTTACCACTTGTCTTCATTAAAGTGATTCAGTTTACTAATACAAGCTGAGTATGTATTTCTCAGCAACTATCAGGAATCCTCTTCAGAATTGTTTCAGGCCAACTCTCATTTACCTGTTCTGCTCTTTTTAAAAATTATTATTATGGAGCTTTATAGTTAAACATAATAGTTGGGTTCATTCCAACAAACTCATACATGCATGGAAATCAATTTCCATCTGTTCTGCTCTTTCTGTGCTCCCTTTCTTATGTTTACAGTGTGCTCCATGTTGTCCGCATACTATAGCTCCTGTCCTTCTTTGGATCTGTGACCCACTTTCAGTTTTGTTGTCTATGGCAGATGCTGTTTGTGCCTCTCCCTATCCGCTTGACATTTTCTGGTCTCTTCTATGCGATGGCTTCATACTGAAAACACCACCACTCTCTGCCCAAGTGCTTTCTCAGGCTTCATAAGCCTACTGAACCTCCTCCCATGGTAGGCAGAAGTCCCAGGGAGTTAACCCCTATGAGGAACATCACCAAGGACAGATGGGAGTTGGTGGCTAAATGCCCCAAATTCCTCACCTCAAAATGAAGTGATTCTGAGAGTCTTTCAGATACTCTCCTGAACTCAGTTTTCCCTACCCCCACTGCTACTTTCTGGAATTACCTTTTGAACAAATAAATCCTACTTTAGTCCTTGGGGTATTTCTGTATGTACCCAACCTACACTACTATCTCAGTTTTAACATGAACTTTCTCCACTATCAGGTATTGGGTTTGTATCTGTCTCCCAAAACCTAAGGTAAGAGATGCTCAGCCCTGAAAAGTTCTAGCATAATTTCATGAGAAATGTCCTAGATACAACTGATCTTCACCCAGGTTCCTCTAGGGGGAAGAACCTTGAGACATTGCAATTAGCTAAATTGATGTGCAAGTTCATGATATATGCAAGTGAATATGTTAAGTACACAGTTTGTGGAGAAATTTCCCAAATTACTTGGTTGTTTCAGCAATCATTTTGTGTAAACCTGGCTTGATATGAAGAGGAAGAACCATATAGTGGTAAAGAGGTTGGCCTCTGAAATCTCACAGAACTGGGTTCAAATTCTTGTTTTGATTCTTATCATTCATGTGACTTTGGGGTAGTAGTTCCTTTGGGTATAAAATGGGAAATGATAATACTAGAACCTACCTCGATAATTATCATGAGACTTTAATGCCATAACACTAATATCATTATCATAAAATCTGGCACATTCAACAAGTATAGCAATTGTTTTTTATTATTCCTTAAGGCATAATATGCCATAATATGTTCACAGACATAAAATAGGACATTAGGCCCTATTTTAGAATGAGAAAGGTCTATCAAAATGAACACACAAAACAACAGATCTCCTGCTACCTAATAAATGGAACTTTGGGGACAAAATATGATTCCTTTGAATCAAAACATTGCTCTTTTCTTAGTATGGTTTCCTTCAAGCAGAAGCTGACATGAACATTGTTATGCAAGTGACTTATTGCAGTAGAGTTCTCTGGTGAAACCTTTCAGGAAGTGAGAGAAGCAAGATAGGGCAGTATAAGTAGCTAAGCAAAATTAACATTCAGCTGAACTTAGAATTTAACCTAATCCCTAATCCCAGGGAGCTCTGGAAAGTGAATGGCTCTGCAGAATTATTTTGCCTAGAGAAAAAAGACAGCCCTTTAGTACCCCATACTAGACAGTCCTTATTTGTGATGCACTTCCAGAGGGAAGGCACAACTTCCCAAAGATATCCAGGGGAGGTGGCTTTCATTTGCTGAGCACAATTCTCAGCAGAAGGGCACAGCTGTGAACTATTTGCAGCCAACACTCCCAGCAGCTGGGAGATGTATGCACTGTTTGGTAAAGAGGACTTAAAATGGGGCATCAACAGCTAGTATTGCACTCTTCCATTTCCCTAAAATGTATAGCATATTGTTAACAGCAGAATTCTACAGTCATTTCTGCTATGGTAATTTGGGAAAAATCCATCAATGCTTATTCTACTTCATGATCAATTGATAACAAAGTATATCAGCAATCTGCTTCTGCCCTCACTAGTCCCCAAGGTGTAACTTTTTGCTGGACATAGTGGTCATAGCTAGCATCAAAGGAGACTTGTATAAGCATCTGTCCTCTAGAATCTCATATAACTTCCTGCTAATTTTAAGGATTCTGAATCTGCTCTCAGATCTCATTTGGTTAGCATATCTGCACTGAGAAAAGTCTTGAAATGGGTCGGCAATTCCACTGTCCTATGGGTTTATGTGAAACCCAAAAGTCTCCTTTTAGACATTCTATATTGCATAGCAACATATTTTGGATCCAGGAACTAAAATCTCTCACCCATCTTATTCTCTTTCTGAAGTCATTTTCTGCTAATTGTCTCATTTATCCCCATAGCATCTCTTTGCTTACTAATGGTTAAAGAGCTGATTAGCAAAGCAGGTTGGGGGAGAACACTGGATGAAGAATTAACAGGTCTGAGTATGAGTTCTGGTTTACCACTCATCAGTTGTTTGAGCGTGAGCAACTCACTTTTCTGTTGGACTTCAGTTTCCTTTTCTATAAAAATGGTTCAATATATCTTCCCTGGGTCCCTCCTAGGGTCATTGTATGATCAAATGAGGAAACATACCAAAGGGCTTTATAAAACACTGCCCATGGTAAGTTATTAATGCTACTGTTATTTGTTATTATTAGTATATTTACCTTTGACTGTTTGAGCATAAGTTATTAATGTTACTGTTATTTATTATTAGTAGTATATTTATCTTTGACTGTTTGAGCTGTGTGATTGGTTGATGTGTAGCTCCAAATGGTCATCTCTGAGAATCCCTGTGAATACCCCTGAGAATCATCTCTTGGTTGCTGAATGACCCATTTTCCTCTATCTCTGACATTAAAATAATTGTTCTGGAGTCTCAAAAGCAAAAATCTCCTCAGACTATGAAAGAGACTTATTAAGGAAAGGACAATGGAAAGACTTGATGAGTCTGGTCATGTAAAGTCCTCCTTCCTTGGTCAAACATTATCCAACTTTATCCCAGGTTAGCTTTCTAGAGAAACAGAATTTATATTGCTATACCAGGGAAGATGATTTCAAAATACATTAAAATCAATCATTTATTTTTAAAATATTTATTTGGTTTATTGATTTTAACACAAAAGTTAACTTTTCTATCAGAATTTTTCTATATTCCTTCAGCCCCAACACAGCTGAAGTATGGACAAGGTACTTATCCTGAAGGAATGAGAGAGACTGGAGAAGAAGGGAAGGGCTGTCAAAATTTCCTCACGGTCTGATATGTGAGGCTATTTGCAAAATTATTGAAACTCCTGAGTATACCTTTATTTAAATATAGTCAGACCTGTTACATATACTTACAACTTATTTATTGACCATATTTTATGTAGAAAAGGCCTTTATCTAAGCAAAAATACATAATTCCTATCTTGAAAGAAGGGAATGAGGCTGGGAAGATAAAGTATGGCAGGGAGAATCCAAGCATGATGAGCAGGGGGGAGTGCTGGGCTGAATGGGGGATGATGGTGTGCCTCACCAGTCATGACATATCAGATTACTGGTATGTCCCCCACAGAGGAACTTTTTTGAATCTTGGAAGGATAGCATATTAGAGCATGAAGCATACTCTCTACTATTGAAGCAAACCGGTTAAATAAAAGGGTTTATTTCCTTTACTAAGGTTATATAAAATTTTGTCACTCGTAGTGTGGTGCTCAGACCATCAGCACAGGCTGAGGTTGTCCGCAGTACTGATGATCCTGAACTCTGATCTCTTCTCTCCTTTCCTGTTGTCTTATTCTTCAGGCCAGAAGCATGCTGCAGAGTTTCATTACTACCTAAGTGCTGGGTGCAGCCTGCATCATGAAGGAGTTCAGGAACCACTAAAAGGTGCTGAATCAGAATTCTCATTTTAAAGAGAGCCTCTATCACTTGCACATTATGGTTGATGAGCACTGCTATAAAGAACACAAAAAGTACAAGGCAGGGTCTCTTCTTCAAGGGGAAGAGGCAGCAGAGCTATTGGAAACAATATTTTTGTGGACCACTTCTATAACAATAGAAGGAGCCTGTCTCTGCCTCTAGAATCTCTGCTTCTAAAATCAAGGTCATTTGACTTTCTGAAAGCTTTTCTTTACATAGGTCTTAGGTTCCATCCTCACCTGCCACAGAGGTTCTGATCACAGAGTGAAACTAGATTTAAAGACAGGTAGTTAGTGTAGCTAGGTAAATCAGGTCCATGGAGAAAATGGAGTCTGATTTCCATCCAGAAAATTGGAAACAGCCCCTAGGAGATTGGAATGCTCATGTCTCCTGAGCCCTTTGACACTACCCCTTCCAAAAGGTTGTTAATTAAGCAACTCCTGAGCAGATAGGGAGCTACTAGCTACTGGGCTGCCTCTCCCTTCCTGCCTAGCACTCCATCTAGGCCCTTCTAACCCACCTGCTCACCCCCTGGCCATCCCACTGACATCCCCCAGTCACTATGCAGGATGAGAGGGAAGGAACAAGATAAGAGAGACTAATGCAGGAGAACAAGGGAAACTTTCTCCATATAAAAGGGACAGGACTTCCTCATCCACAGATTCCACCTTTGGATCCTCTTTTTCCATCTAGGAAAAGTCGATTTTACTTTCCTTTAATAAAGTGTCTTACTTTCTATTCTACGCTTGCCTCAGTGTGCTTCTCTGGTGTTAAACTTCAAATTTGAGGAAGCAGGACTCCTCAAGGTAACTGGTAACTGGCAATATCAAGAGTATGATTCCACATCAGTGCACACCTACCCACATCTGGCCTTCTCTCTGGGCCTGACTGGGCTTCTGCCTGGCTTCCCTAAATTTGAATCTTATTCTTTTTTAAAAAAATAAATGTCAGTAGAGTGTATTTTGACATATTCTACATACGCATCTTAGTAAGCCAACCCGACCTTGCTAGCCCTACAGATGCTCCATTAAAGACTGAGGTTTGTATTACTTTCACACATGGGAAAGATCAAATTATCCTTCCTGTTGAGGACAATACTAGACATTTTATGAATATCTAAGGATAAGCTGGTTAAAAATCCCTAATTGCTATGATTTCTGATCCTCTTCTCTCCTTTCCTGGACACCCCATATAATTACGTTGCTTTTATTATGACCTATTGTTTCCTGGCCCTTTCACTACCATGTCTTATTCTTGGTATTCAACATAATTTGACATAAAAAGTGATGGGAGAAGAGTTCTATTTCCGGCATGGCTAAGTAATCTCTTACTAGACTGACCTTTAGTTTGCAACTATAAATTCTGGACAAAAGACAAAATCTGGAGGCTCTGGAGAATGAACAAAGAAAGTAAATTTTGGACTGGAGACAAAAGAAGAAGGTATCACAGGTGAATTTTCTGATTTGACAGCTTTTAGCTTGAGGGCAGGCTGTACCTAGCACTGGTTGAGCAACAAAACTCTGATAGAAAACCCAGGATTTTTCTGGCCAGAATAATCAGATAACAGAGTGTAGGAGAGTCATGACTGCTAAAAAAGTGCAGAAGAATCCTGGAAAGGAGACTGTGAGAGAGGTGAAGACTTGAATTCTTTGTGTAATTTTTTTTTTTCAAATATCAGACTGGTACCTGAACTACTCATGCACAGATCAAACTCAATGCACCTAACTAATGATAAAAGGCTTAGCTGAGGTTCAAACTCTGCCCCAAGAGACAAGAGTTTTCAGTTTCAATTTAGTTAACCTTCTAAAATAAAAGTTGCAAGACTTTTGAGAGGAATATAGTAGAGTAGTCATTACAGCACTACATTCAGGATGACAAGGATGCAATCCCAAAGTACTCAACATTTGAGGGACTAGGAAAGTTAATTTATTCCCTAAAGAAATTCAATCAAAAGAGGACATAACCAAGGTGACATCAATGTTGAAAATAACGGATAAGAACTTTAAAGCAACTATTGTAAATGTGCTTAATGAGGCAAAGGAAAATGTACTGATTAATATGTAGAAACTTTAAAAGAGATCTAGATAGAAAATCTTACACTAAATTGGAAAAATAGCTAAATTTAAAAAATTAGTGGATAGACAACATTCGAGGGAGATGACAGATGAGTTAGGTGACTTAAAAATAGATGAATAAAAATGTTTCAAACTGAAGAACAAACGAAAAATTTTATAAGAATACAACAACAACAATAAAAAAAATGCTTAACTGAGCTAACGGATACATGCAATAATGTAGAAAAAAATAAACATTTAAGTAGAGTCTCAGAAGGAGAAGAGAAACTAGGGTAGAAAAAAATGGTTTAAGAAGTAATGAAAGTCATAATTAAAGTAATAATGAAAATAACTCTTTTGGTGAAACATAAATGTACATATTCAAGAAGGTCAGTTAACTCTAAGCAAAAAAACTAAGAAGTAAATGTAAGGCTAAACATGGTGGTGCCTGCCTATGATCCCAACAACTCAGGAGGCTGAGGCAGGAGGATTACAAGTTTCAGGATAGCCTTAGCAACTTAGTGAGACTCTCTCAAAAAATTTAAAATAAAAAGATCTGAGAATGTAACTCGGTGGTAGAGCACCCCTAGGCTCCATTCCCAATATTCTCTCTATCTCTTTTTCTTTCTTTCTTTCTTTCTTTCTTTCTTTCTTTCTTTCTCTCTCTCTCTCTCTCTCTCTCTCTCTCTCTCTCTCTCTCTCTCTCTCTCTCTCTTTCTCTTTCTCTCTATCTCTCTCTCAAACACGCACACACACACAAGTAAACCTAAGCATACCAAAGTAGAATTTCTGAAAACTGAAGATAAAAAGACTCTAATTATTTCTGTTTCTTATAATGTCAATTTTTTCTTGTTTTATATTAGTGTTCTTTTATTATACATATTT